CCGGCGTACGGCGGCCCGGGGGTCTTTGCCTATCCCACCTAAAAAATCTTTCTGCTGGGCCTGAATGGACAACTCCAGGCCTCCCCTAGAGGTACAGGCTGTGCCAGCGGGGGGGGGTTTGATGTGCTAAGTTAATTACTTTTTGTTCTATCGATGGCAGGCTGTAATAGGCTTTTCTCGGTTGATCATCTTTCGTCTTGCTGCAGCATTTGGAGCAAAGTGTCTCTGTGTTGAGGTTGATGATGTGCTTGGGGAGTGTGGGGGTTAGAAAAATGAGAGGCAAATGCCCCAAGAGCGAGAGAGGGCTTGAAGGTGATCCCAGGTGTGAAGTAAAGGTTCTGTGTCTAACGGTAATAAAATATTACAGACACTTTAAAAAAAGTCTGCAGGGATTACAATTCTTGGTCTGTAAACGTGGGGATTGCAAGCAGAAAAAGTTTGAGCTGCTTATTGCTTTGTGCTAACCTCATCTTGGGAAACTTGATAGTTAGCAAAGATTTTTTAGTTCCAAATCTGTGGAATGAAGAATACATTTTCTTCAGTTAATCTTGGGCCCCAGGCCTTAAATGCCGCGGAGATAAGAATCAGCATTTTGAATCTGATGTTCTGTGAGTAATGTTTTAGGCTTGAGGTCAGATTTGCTTATCTGCTGTTCCTGAGGTGTGTTACATAGCTGTGTGTCGGTCAGGCTGCCAGTCGCTGCCGGCTGTTGTGCCCAGGCATGTTGCCTATCTGTAGTTGGACCCGGAGCTGACAGATCTGAACGACCGAGGCCAGCTCGATGGTCTGTAGTTAATTGGAGATAATATGGGTATGGCGAGGAGGTGGTGGTGTGTCTCAATTTGGAAAAACCACTCCCATCTGTCTCACTACCTGAAGACAGTCAGCTTTCTAAATCTCACTTTTTGGGAAAAATATATCAATTTTTTTTTTCCCCAACATGTAATAATTAAACTGTGTTTATGGCAACCGAAAAAATACCGGCATATGCAACTTCTTCTGTCTTCTTCCTGCCGGGCAGAAACAGGCATGCCTGTTCAGGAGCAGAGGCAGTTCTGATCCTGGTGCCACCATGGCAGACAATACAGTGACGTGTAATATGTTAGCCAGGGCTAGGGAAGGATCTTCCCATCATCTTCTCCGCTCCTCACATTGCGTAGTTGGTACGTGGAGGATGTTTATGTCTTAGATTCTGTTTACGCCTCAAAACTCGCACTTGGGCCAGTAAAATGATAATATGTAATATTACTAATAATACAGGCAATATATAATAAGTAATTTGTCCTATATGAGGAGACAGTTGATTCCTGGAAGTATAAGTGAAGATGTCTGCTTTGTTCCGATTTTTTTTTTTCTGGCCCGCTTTATATTTGGAGTTTCTCCAGAAAGCTTATCTTTTTATCTAGGTGCAATTCAATCTGTAATATCAAGCTCCATGTAGCAAAGCTAACATGTCTGCAGTGATAATGCCAGCGTTCATGTGAACAAATTTTCAGTGTCCTTGGGGCGGGGAGGAGGAGGATGTGCCTATACTGGATTTTGATTCTTGCTGTGCTTAGTGAAGGAAGTAAGAGTTTCCCCTTCAGTTCCTCCTTCTACATTACATCACAGACAGAAGTATTTTTCTTTAGATGAAGCATTTAAGTTCTCTAACCCAAGGAAAAAAATCAGAGTAGACAAAATATCTTCTGCAAATAACTACTTAAATGCATTATTTTCTGTAGATCTTGTGTTAGCATTGGTGTAAATAGATTGTGGTTATGCGGGGTGGTTCGTTATTGAGGTGGGCAAAGCGCTGTGGGAATTTCGTCTCGCCTGCCCTTTCAACTCGGGGATACTCACAGGCATGGTGTATTGTGGAGGTGATGTGGGGCTCGTTCCTTCCTGTAGTCTAGAACTGCCTTAAAAGAAGCCATAAATGCTCAGTTGTTTTCATATTTGGTAATCACATCTTTTAAGCGTTCTCTGTGGACCTGTATCTGCATGTTCTTGTAATTTTGGTGTGTGAAACCCGTGGAGGTGATGTCTGAAATCCTGCAAAAGGAAGAAAAGTTCGCAGCTGAAGTAATTTCCTTGACATTTCTTTTGACCTGGCTGGTTTTTGTTATGCTGAATATGATAAGGAACATATTCTAGACTAATGCTTGTCTTTTATGGCAGGTGGCTTGTCTGAATTCTTTACAGGTGTGTCAAAGCTTGAGGTGTTTTTAAGCTGACTTGGGAGCCTTCAGTGCAGGATTGCAGAAAATGTCTGCATCATACCGCATTACTTCGAAGCATGTTATACAGCACTTCAACCCAGGGGGAATGTAAATAGTTACAGTCTGAGGAATAACCATAAAAAAACTGGGTGTAGCTTTTTAACACAAGCACTAAATTTTGTGTTATTTCTTCAGCCACACAGAAGTTAAGGTGTTGGAAGGATTGTCCTATTTTGAATCTATTTTTAGGTTTTTAATTACTTAATTACTCAAGAAGCTTTAAAAAAGTTCAGTGAGGGGAAGTCTAAAAATTTCACTTTTTGGTGACATAAATATTGTACATAACTAAAGAACACTTTTTATAGACCTCTTTTCCAGCGTATTACTTACATGCAGAACCTGTGTCTGTTTTGACATGAAGTGATACATGATGGCTACACTTATATTTTTATGTGTTTGCTTGTAACGTATCCTTGTAGCTGAAAAAGTGTAGGCTGCTATGTAACAAAAATGGGGAACCCGCTCATGTATAAAACTTCGTAGACATCTGCGTACTTGGTTCTTTTTTGTCCCCGAAGGCTGTTGTGTCAGTGATTGTTCAGTGATTGAAATGGTTCTGAAGGAACGGACAGGGCTGATGCAGAAGCGTGTTCACGTCAGAGCCAGAATTTCTGACGTGGCTTGGACTTTGCAGGGCTACCTAGGTCTTGAGTTGAGCAAAAACTCAGTGTTTGTACAGATAAGTTTTAGGAACTTTGCCGGCTTTTTTGACTAATGTGTTCTCATGAATTCTTTCTGAAGATGTATTTCTGCATCTTCTCAACCAGCACAAAGTGAACAAGGAGACGGATTGGATTAGTTAAGGAAATCGTATCAGGCTGAGGCTGAAGTATTTCATTCTCCTGTGGTGTGGTTTTTTTTTTGTTGTTGTTATTCAGTGGCATTTGTGTCCTGTTAAGACCTGAGGGTTGTCTAGATTGGTTGAGAAAGAGTCTTAATTTTTTTTTGTAGTTTTTAGGGTGTTAGAGCTGGTATTCTGAAATAGTTAATAGAACTATTCAATATGTCTGTTGTAATGCACAGGGGCTTTGAATTTGTGTCTTCTGAAAACTGTATTAATGGGAGGAGAAAAAAAGTGTTCTTAGGTAAGAGTCATTGACCTGAGTGTTTAGTTAGATACAGGATTATTTTGTTAAAATTTTTCAAGTATAAGACTACAAATCTGGTGGGTCAGTGTATTATTTGACTTAAGTTTAAGTAGTGTAGTGTTCTAAGGAGAAAATAAATAGGGTGGATGTCTGGTCTGGAGCATCATGAGGAGATGGGAGTGAGGCTTGGTCGGCTTTAAAGAGATTCAGCTTATGAAATTGAAAACTGGCTACGTTGGATAATTGTGGGAGAGAATAGTGGGTCTTCATGACATCAGTTGTCTTCTGTCAGGAAATCTGTGTTACAATACAGTGTGTAGCACTGGTGCCGTGCATACCAGTTTGGTTGAAAGGTGTACAGTTTTGCAAATAATGTGAAAGGATGAAACTTTGCAAGTTGTGATTTAGTTTTAAGAATGTAACAAGTTATGTTCCAAGAGGTGGTATGACATTGAACAAATGCCAGAGTAGTTAATGTGTGTGATTATCTCTCTTTGCTTGCAGTGAAAGTGAACGACCAAGCCAAAATGAAAAAAGAAAAGAGAAAAGTGTCAAAAGAGGAGGAAATCGCTTTGAGCCCTATGCTAATCCTGCTAAAAGATACCGAGCTTTTATTACAAATATTCCATTTGATGTGAAGTGGCAGTCTCTGAAAGACCTGGTCAAAGAGAAAGGTAATGTACAACTCAGGTGGCCAAGTGATGTCTGTCATCTTCCTTGTGGCTGACTTTGTAAACTTAAGCGCTGAAGCTCTGGGTGGACTTAGTGACATGAGTTGTGTAAAAGGTCTTCTCGAAGCCTTTTTGGGTGTCGCACAGCGTCTCCTCCCTGGCAGCCTTCCATATGGATGCTTCCTTTATAGGCATGTTGGTATGCAGCTAATAGTGCTTCATCGGAGATTTTTAAAAGAGTATTTTTTGGGGGGGGGGGGGGGGGGAAAAAAATCTGAAGCATTTTAATGTCTTTTGGGTAATAAAGGTAGTTATTTACTGCTGATCCGGTGTGTGTGTGTGTATAGCCGTGTCCCCAAACTTTGTAGTGATTGTGCTTAGATAAAGATCCATACTGCCATTTGAGAGCAGTAAAATGTATTTAAGGGTGACCTGCAAAAAAGAAATACCCGGTTTGTGCTTTGGCATGTGCTGCAACACAGTTAGGACTTTGGAAATCACGTTCATGGTGCTTCCTTCTTCCCCACTTCCGTTTAACTGTCCCATGTGAATGGGAGCTGCCTTAGTTTGTTGACCTTAGTGTTTTCATCTCTTGAAGAAGGTGAAGAAATTGAGCTGACTATTCTCAGGTGGTGGCAAGTCTAAATGTAGTGTTATTTCTTTAAGCTGATGCCCAGCTTACTAGTTTTCAAGTCACCTTGGAAATGCAGTGGATTGGCGAGAAAATACTTGGCTTCTCCATCATTAAAATGTCTAAAAACAAGTTAAGAGTAACTAATACAACTGTTCCTCTTGTGGGTCACTTCTAAAATACATAGCATCAGTCATAAATGTCTCTCAAAATAGTGATCAGTGTTCACTTGTGTTTGAACTAGGCAAGGAATGATAGTTAATGTGTTCAGGAGGTGTGGCCTGATGAATGGGAAAACAAATTTCTAAAGGGTTTTAAAATGTTTGTGTTTGGAGGCAAAATGGAACTGAGTCTGCGTGATGAACTTCAGGATCGTAAGCCCTGGGAAACTTCAATAATTAGAGGCTGTGAAATGTTGATGCTTGTGATTCGGCAATGGTTTTCTGTAATACGAAGAATTACAGTCTTAAAGGCTGCTTTTAACACGCCCTAATTATGAATGGTCCCTTACCTTTAAACTATGCTTTCACTTTGCTACACAAGATAGATTGGTTAATAGGAGTATCTGTGTGTGTAGATGTCTTAATTTTAAGTACTGTGTTGAATTCCGTTCCAAGTGTCTTGTGGTTTCTCTCCAGTTCACGTGGATGGAAAAGTCCGGTGTGAGATTGTTTCCTGCCTTGCTGTTCAGCTACTCATTCCAGCAGATACTCCTAGGGGAACATTGAAACCTCTTCATTCTGTCTGCAGGGCTTGTTATGCTAAATATTGAGAAGCATTGTTCTTGGTTTTTGGGACTGCTTGTTAAAATACAACAGTTAGATTTGCTGTGTAGTTGCGATTCGTTCTGATTAGTCACTGACTTCTCCCAAATTGGTGCTCTTGTGCTGTGCTTGAAGTTGCTCAATCGGTACTTCTTGATACAAGGCATAGTAGTTCCAAGAACCAGGAATGTGACCGTGGAAAAATCTAAATGCTAGAATTCTTGGTTTGTAAGCGTAAGAATTACAGGCCAAACGTTCAGGGTTTTGAGAACATGTGAAACAGATCTGTACACATAGGCATTTCATGGCTGCTCCGTCAGTTGTGAAGACTTAAGCTGTTAGCAGCAATGGCATAGCAGGTTGCTGAACGTAGGAGGAGTTCCCCTCGATCAGCTGTTTTGCGTCAGTAAGTATGGATTAGGAGACATGAGCTTTGAGGTCTGCTCATATTTCTGCAACCTGGATTTTTCAGATGCGTACATCTGAAGTCTTCTAAAGGTGATATCTCTCTTGAGTAATGCCTTGGTTCAGTCATTTCAGTGTATTTGTTGGTGAAACTCAATTACAGGTATGCAGTATGATGTAATTATTAACGAAATGACAAAATGTTCTTGGTTGAAACTCCCTTGTATTGGCTGACAAACACAAGGTTCTGCTAAACTGATGTAATCAGCATTGATAACTGGCAATTGGTGAGTGGGTTCAGGAGAAGAATGAGGCAGCGGTTCTTCAGCATGTAAGTGGAGTCTAAATGTAAATGTGGTTGAATGCAAAATAGCTGTCTTAATCTGTCCCTCAACAAACGGCTCTGTCTTGGGGAGAAAACCAGTAATGCTTCATGGCAGCTGGCAGAAGTGAGGTGGTACCATATGATAAAAAAGAACTTGTATTTGAATTTGAGATATTTATTGATTCCTTTAGGAAATACAGAATTTCGTGTATTAAACCTTTTTAATGCCCAGAGTAGCAAGATGGCATACAATACCAGGAGAAAGATTAGCTGTAAAATGAGGCAGTAACGATCTTCTGCTCTGTTGCACAGCTAGGACCAATTGCAGTCAAGGCCGTGCTCGTGCTGCATTCAGAGATTCCGGGACGCCCCAGTGACTGTTCGTATTAGCGTGGCTGTACCACCTTTACGTAAGGCAGAGCTGTAGTGTGGAGCAGGCACGGCTGACTCTTCCCGGAGAAACCTGGATCTGTGACCGGATGGGAGCAACAGAAGCAGCAAAGCTTTCCCAGCTTAAACTTCCTGTGAAGAAGAGCAGCTGCTAAACTTCACGTGCTGTGTTCTTTCTTGCTACATCTCCAGAAATTTCTGGAACCTTTGTGGCCTCCTAAAGATGTAACTCGTGCCCTCTTGCTATTGTACTCAATCCCAGATGTTAGTACTGGTGAGCACTTGTGTTACATTGGTACTAATAACTGTTACTCCAGTACCTGAAGGCACCTGTTACTGGAAAGTCCCCTGGGCCTCGACGCCCAAGATTCTGTTGCAGTATGCTTGCAGACCGAAGTTTTAGGTGGGCAAAGAGAGAAGGATGAATAATCAATGTGCAGGTGCTGTTCCACACCTGACTTGTTTCCCCCGACTTTAAGTAGATGCATGAATGAATTGCTCTATTTTCATTTGCCTTAACTTTCTTTTCGAGGAGGCACTGTCTGTAATCAGTGGATATGAAGTTGTTTTTTTTTTTTTCACTTAATCTTTCCTGCCTGGGCTGTTAGAGAGCCGAAATTGCCCATGTTTTTTTCTGGGTTCTCTCATGCAAAGGTGAGATTTCCTTTCCACTGCCGTAAAAGAATAGCTTGCAAACTTGTCTCTGCCTCTATTCTGGGAAGAATGTTTTTC